CAGACTGACCAGCCCACAACAGGAGGCATCAGCCTGAGAGTCTTTAGTTCAGAATGCATGTGACCCACACCACAACCTCATATGTGGAGCAAATAAAGCACACTGACATTACTGTAGACAGTCGTACAAATCAATCCTCTTATAAACAGCCAAAAATAAAAAACACGTATTTTATTGTATGTATGGCATAGCCACTCACTCCTGAAAACTGAAAACCTTAATTTGATGATTTGCCTCCATAAAATGGCTCCTCAGTTCACCATCTTAGAATTCACTGTTCAAATCTTCCAAGTTTCTCCTGGAACCCTAATCTCAGGAGTTATCTTCCTGTTCATGACAAAAACACTGAAGTTCAAAATATCGCTTTGAAGGAGAGTAGAACTGTACTGTCCCCTGAGTAAAGCCTGATCTACTCGATACGCACAGCAAAGGGCGATGTGCACAAACGCTATCACGTACAAGGCACGTGACATAACACAACAGAAATAATTCAGAGAGTAATTATTTACTTTCTTAAAGTAGTCAGGATAGCAAGCTTGCTTAGGACATTTGAAGTGATACCTTTTCATGACTGTATTTACTAAGTACAGTAAGACGTGGCTTTTTCTTTTCATGCTCTCCTAAAACCAACATTTTAAAACGTGAGTATTTAAATATATTAACAGAAGTTATATTTTTAAATAGTTCCATTTACATGTTATTGTAAGAACTTTTTTTAGCAAACACATTTTTAAGCAAACAAACCAAATACATACTTGCTTTTTGTGGTTGCTACGCAAGAAGGACCTAGGAGTTCCATTTTTGCACTCTGAGTCACTTTGCTCTTCGTAACTTTCAAATTCACTTGAGCTCCATCCATATTCCAATGAGCTGTTTCCACCTTCATCCCCATTTTCAACGTCATCATAAATCATTTCATCTGAATGCATGAAATCCCAAAATGAAATTAAAATAAAAACGGAGAAGTCACTAGTTGTTGGTTTGTACTTTGTTGTTCTACCATAGGGTCTAGAGTGGTGGGGGTGGACTCAGAGGAGAACATCTTGGAGGAACAGCGCAGAGCCTCAGGTATGCTCCTCTAGAAAGGTGTTGCCAGAACCCCTGGAATGCTGA